TTTTTAAAAGTTGAAAGTTCATGAATAAAAATAGAAACCGATCTAAAACCTTATTGATAGATCTGAACATGAAAAATTTGAAGTTGAAGAGAAGTTTGGTAATGGATTTGTGTGTGTGACAGAGTGTGTAGGAGAAAGAATTGATAAAAATAGCATTTTGTCCCCCAAAACGCAGCGCTATTCAGACAAACATGGCACGGTTTGTTTCAACTTTCTACACTTTCTTGGGCTTCCTTCCACATGCAAATTACGAGCCATAGCCACAGCCAAGCACGCCTATTTCACACACCAAAAGGAAAAAAGCTTTGCCTTTTCATCTCAAAAAAGTGAACAATTTTTTGGCCAATTCAAATATATTATTACCTTCGTGACATTGAAATTTCTCCATCACCTCACCACCTTCATAATTATTATCTTTCCTACAACAATAGTTTTCTACCTTTTATTTTCATTGTGTGCCCACAATAAAGTTTCTAATATTATCCGTTACGGGTAGAAGTCGGACCCGCTACGTGTCGAACGTTTGGAGGACGAGCCAGATCACCTTATCAGAGCTCAAAGAAAGGCAAGTTAGTCGAAATTCTGAACTCGCCAGCACTCCTCTGCACGCCATAACGGCGAGATTGACTAAGCGCAGACAGTGTCATTACAAGACATGTCGTTCAAATATAGAAATCTCGGGCCCACCTATCAAATTCGGCAGCCCGCTACCACCCATAAAAGGGTAGAGGACGACCTCAGCATCACGGTAGAATCTCTTCTAAAATGTACCACTTGCAATCGAATTTACTTAAGCATCGGAGTGTTCACCTCTATTTTACAAGACAACCATCTTTCGAATGGGATAAGCTACATTATTTGTATGGGCCAAATATATGCATGAACATTATTGACATTTTTTAAAAAGACTAGTGTATTACCACGTGCAATGCACGTATAAATTTTTTTTAATTATAAGGTAACTTAAATTTTATATAATTTCACGTAAAATATTTTAAGTATAATTATTTTAAAAAATAATTAAGATTAATTTTTATATATATTTATTATTATTGACAGCTAATTACTAATAATAAAATGTATTATTTATAATTATTTTTTAAATATATTATTTATAATTAATTGTTAATGATATATTTTGTAAATAAATAAATTAAAAGTAAAGCAAAAAAGTATATATTAATAAAAAAGTAAATAGGTATTTTAATATTTTTATTTTTGAATTATTTCAACCTAATATGGGTCCTTTATTTTATTTTTTTAATATTTTGTTTGTTTATTAAATATTTGTTTAGAGCTGACATTTTGTTATATATGTTGAATTTTTTAACTAAATATAAATTATTTTATAGATTTAATTTTATATTATAATTAAAATTATTAAAGAAAAATTTTTCAAATTATTATTAGAAAATAAAATGACCAAAAGTTTTATATTCCACTTTACGATTCTATACAAATTATTGTTTATAATTAATTTATTAATTAAACATTTTTTTTATATATTGACTTCTATGATTGTTTTTTTTTCAACAATAAGAACATGAGCTTGTAATTATCTATATTTTAAACAAATATTCTAAATAAAATTGCTCAAAAAAAAACATTCCAAATAAAAGAAATACACTAAACAATAAAAAACATTAGTAACAAAAAAAATCCAAATCCTAAACTAAATAAAATTGCTAAAAAAAGAAACATTCCAAATAAAAAACACACTAATTAGAAAAATAACAATAGTAACAAAAAAAAATCCAAGTACTTACTATACACTCATCTTTTGGAGTAAATATGCTCAGATTGCTTGACATATACTATTATTCAACTTTGTAAAATTGTGGAATGGTAATGTCACAAACCTAGTATTCGAGATATGTAGATTCAACATATGCCTCACTTGCAACTTGATGAATATGTCGTAAATATCTCGAGATATTTTCAAAATTGAATCAGAGATGTTTCAAGGAACTAAGAATAAAAAAGTATTGAAACTTGTGAAAAACATGTAGAAGAAAGCCTATTTTTATAGTAGTAGAGGATAAAACGTTACAAAAGCTTTTCAAATTCTAAAACTCTTGAAATTCTAGTATGAATTTTAATTAAAGAAAAAATTAATTTTATGTTGTTGGAAAACTTTTTGCATTCTAACCTTTTATATTCCATGCATTTATAGTATTGATAATTGATAATTAATAATTAATAATTAATTTAATATTTGTAATAATATATTAATGGCATAATTGGTAAATTTGTAAATTTAGTAAAGGGCAAAAGTGTCCAAAAATGTTTTTCCTACATCCTACCTTTTTAATATAGTATAGATAAGAAAAACAGTGGCCAATTCATGAGTAGGAGTCAACACCACGAAGGACACAACAACCACTAGAGAATGAACTGATTAGTTACCAAATTTAACAAAGGAAAAAATAATGAACTAATTTATTTTTTAAAAAGTAGAAAACAAAAAGTAAAATCACTGTAAAATTTACATATGGGCAAGGAAGTAATGAAACCTCCGCCCTTTTGATCAAGAGTATATGCGTTAATCATATGAGTTATTATAACGATCGATATATGTCCAACATTACATCACACTCACTTCTTTTAAGTAGTCTCTATCTAAATATGAAGCAACTTTTATAGCTTAGGGAGAGAGGCAACTACCCTTAAATATATGGACCATGATGCCCTTGACATAACAAGCCAATTTCTTTACCTGACTTACCCCTTGTGTATATTTGACAAGCTTTATTTTATCCTTTTTATTATTCTTGTTTTTTTCCTTTTTAATGAAATGATTGGTATTAAGTTGAACATAAAATGTGAAAATGTAGTAGAGAATTATTAGTACAACCAAATCAATTTAACATTTATGTTTCATTCTCAGAAGAAAAAAAAATTCTTGTTTTGTTGTATAGTTTTTATAAACATTTTAAAAATCTAAGTCAAATTTTGAAAACTAAAAATACAGTTTTCAAAACTTGTTTTTGTTTTTAACTTCGGCTAAGTATTTAAATAGTAAAAAAAAACAAATGTTTTTTTTTAAATGAAAAACAAAAAACGAAATTGTTATCAAATCGTGTGAGATATATTTTCTTACTAACTTTTCTACACACACTTCTTTTTCATATGTCATTTGCTTTGCTGGAGAAGTATACATTTTTTTTATTCCATATTTCATCTATTTTTTCTATTTTTAGTACGACATGGAGGACTAGAAATTCAAACTCATGATCTTTTGGTCAGAAATAGATGTCATAACTGTCGAGGGTTAATCTAACTCATCTTTTTAAAGTTTCGATTAAGTTCTTATTTGATAAATCTAGGTTTAATATTTTACAAATACTATGTCACCATTTTGATATTTTAATTCAAAAACCTTTATTTACTAAAGTTTCTAATTTTGACCAAATCATAGTAATTTACCAAAACAAAAAGAAAGAGACTTTTGATTGGTATGTTAGTTATGTATCATTATTTAAATTAAATAGTAACTCAACCCATGAAATTAAAGACAAAATCTGTCTGATTTCTTTTAACAGTTAGGTAATATATATATATATATATATATATATAGTAATCCCTTCACCTACTGGCAGAGCTCTTAGAAGTTTCCTTCACCAACCTTTGATTAGAACTTTAAAAAGAAGTGGCTTAATTAGCAGCTTTTGTCATTCAAATAAACTATGCAACTTTTGCCCAATGGATGAGAACTGCAAAACCCATTAATTTTTCATCAACAAAGAAAAAAAGTGAGTGTCAAGTGTCAAGTATGAAGTGTAAGGATGCTTTTGATATGGAGTGATTAATTAAAGTGATTAAGCAACAAAAGTAGGCTAAAAAAATAATTGCAAATTCCAATAATGTGAATTTCTTTTTTTTTCTTTTTTCTTTTTTTAAGGCAAGCCAGAGGAGAAAATTCCAATAGCTTATAAATTATGTTTTAATTTCAATGAAAAAACAATTGAGAAGACAAAATTCAACTATTATGAACCGGAAAATCGAACTAGGTGATAAATATTTTATATACTATATTGGATAAATCGTATTAGTAGAATATCGTTTATTTGGGTGTATAATATGGAAGATTGTTAGGGCCGTCTCTATTTCTCATATTTGACGAGAATGTAATTCCATAATATATGAGGTGTCTCTCGTTTCATTCTCCAATTATTTTACATTTTGTTCACAGTTATTTTTATTCGTATGCATGTGTTACTATTTGGGCAGTCGACAAGGTAACTTTCATTCTGATCTCAACCATTGATAGGTTATGTTTGAGAGTTATTTTTATAATTGGATAATTATTTTTTTCTTGATTCGATATTTGATATGTTTTGTTTTCTTTTTCGACAAACCTCTTTATTTCTTCTGTGTCTTGATCTTACAAATCCATCTTTTTTTCCTTATCATATACCTGCCATTTGAATGATAAAAATAGCGAAAGATCTTTGTTTTTGGTGAGGAAAAAAAAAGTATGATACTTGTTATAATATGGTAATAAAATAAAATGACCATTTTATTGTCTTAAAAGCTCATATATATCTTCCATAAATATAGGTAGCAAAACGTCTCGGTCAATCCAAGAGATCATGGACCCATGTCAATGAGGTAATAATAACTTCTCTAGAGATATTCATGAGCCAAAAAAAACTCATTCAATTAGTCAATTAGTCAATTAATTAATTATTTGCTTTGTAAGTTTCGTTGAAATCCTTCCATCAACAGGACATTTTGTATTATGTTATTTAATAAAAATATGATCTTTCAAAAGAATCCAAAATTATGTATCCACATGGCCGAGCTGGACAAAACGGATAGCTGTTACTCCAAAACTTCTAAATTTGTCAGTAAACTGAGGAATTCTTCTGCCATTTAATCCTGATTATGATATTGGTCAACTGCGTTACTGTTGGTTGCTCATGTTTAATGATGCTTTGGAACAAAATACTAGAAAGTAATGAGTGTGTTTCAAGACAAACGACCCCACATGTGCGTCTGAATATTGGTTTGAGAGCTGCCATTAATTGTAAAACCAGCGTTGGGTTTTGTCAATTTTCAATTTTTCTGAAGCCCCGCAGCCTCAGGCTGGCTTTATGGCAAATGGGTCTCGCGTGGACATTGCTTTCAACCTCCAAACGCGAGGAGTGACTCCTTCGTGCCTTTTTCTTTAATGGGTAATATGAGTGGTTTTTTGTTTTGGTCCCTTCTGCCCCATTGGCGTTAGGATTTTGGAATCTTCTAGGTGAGTTTGAGAGGCTGGAAAATTGAAGAAATCATAAATTGCTTCTTCTCCGAACAGCTGGTTGGTGTTAGGTCAAATCTTGTAGGGGTTGAACTAATTCGCTGTCCTGATTTGTATTCATCTGGTTCTTGGTTCTGGGTGTTCATGGTTTCTGGGTGTTGTATTTTGGTGGAGTGGTTGGCCGGAGGATCTGTTCACATGAACTCGGAGATGAATTTGTGAAGGGATTTGCCTGTTTCTTCTCTGTATTGATAGATTCTAAGGGTTTCTTCCTCAAGTTTGACTGATTTTGACTAGTTTAAACGATACCCGTCTGTGTAGTGAGTTTTTTTCGTCAGAGAAATCAGTCAACCAACTACATTGCCGCTCGTTTTGGAAATTTGAACTTTGGGTTTCTAGGGTTTTCTGCTAATTTCGGTCTTGAACGAGAAATCGAGTCGGGGCTTCAGTGTCTGCTTTCACAAGCCTTTTACTGGCACTACCAAGGTAGAGTGGGGGCTTTAAGTGGGCCTCAGTTCTGGAGTTTCTGTGTATTATATGCTTGATGGGTGCTTTTGCACTAAAGCTTGGCTATATTTTGAAGCCCTTACATTGAAGTTTTTTCCTGCATTTCTCAGTGGAAAGATGGCTTGCGTGAAGCTAGGATCCAAAAGTGATGCGTTCCAAAGGCAAGGACAGGCCTGGTGTGGACTGTGAACTTAAAACTCGACATTTTTCTTTACTGCAACAGATATCAATTTTGTAACTTGCATACAATTCTCATTGTCTCAATTAAATAGGTAGAGAATTGAGGTTTAGCCCTATAGATAGTAGTAGAAATTATGCTGGTAAGTTCTCTGATGTTTTTGAAACCAACTGTGATTAGCAAGTTCAGTGTGCTTTAGGTTGCCATGGTTTCTAAATGACTCTCTTAGTACTCAAGTGGTTTCAATTTGATCTAAATTATGGTAGAAAGTTAGACAAATTTATTTATGCTGTGCACTTACAGTTGTTCTGTGATTTGTTCCTTCATTGTACTCAGCTAAGGCGACAACTTTTAAGTCATGTAGGCATGTTTTTATGGTCATATATGAATTTGGCACTTATCTACATTGCTAATTATGGAACTCCTTGGGAGCAGAGTGAATAAGAGGAGACCTTCCTACTTGATTTTTGCAGTGTTAAATATTTGTTAATGGCTGCAGGTTCTGCACTAGTGGACTCCCAAGTGACATTATTGTTGAAGTTGAAGAGATGTCATTCCATCTACACAAGGTAATTTATGTTATCTCTTTAATTCAAATGTACATTATGCAGATATTTCTAATGTGCTTCACGCTGTTTTATCTTTTCGTTAGGGTAGTTTGTTGGGAAGGGGGTTCTTAGAATGCTTATAAACCCTTAAGAAAAACCAGATGATTTGATTGTTTAGGAAAACAAACCCTTTATAAAAATTTGATTCATTGTTCAAAATATTTTTTTTCTTTAAATAATGTTTCTGATTTAAAGAAGAATGTTGGGGAATCCTCCCTCCTCTTATATTTGTAGCTGTTTGGGACAACTTATGTATGTATTAATTGTTCTCATGGGAAAATCTCCTAAACCTAAAATATTTAAGGTCAAGAAACCTGTAAGATATTTATGTCCCGACTTCTGAGGCATTTGCAGTTTCCTCTGCTATCGAGAAGTGGGGCTATGGAGAGAATGATTGCTGAAGCACCTGAAGAACAGGAGGAAGGAGCTGTAATAAATATTCCTGACATTCCTGGGGGTGCCAAAACATTTGAACTGGTTGCGAAGTTCTGCTACGGGGTGAAACTTGAACTTACAGCCTCAAACGTTGTCTACCTCCGTTGTGCAGCTGAGCGTCTAGAAATGACTGAGGAGTATGGGGAGGGTAATCTCATTTCTCAGACTGAGGTATTTCTGAATCAAGTTGTCCTCAAAAGCTGGACGGACTCTCTGATGGCACTACAGACCTGTGATGATATTCTTCGCCATGCTGATGAACTCCATATAACTAAAAGATGTATTGAGTCACTTGCTGTTAGGGCATCCACTGACCCAAGTTTGTTTGGTTGGCCAGTTATAGAGCATGGAGGACCGATGCAAAGTCCTGGTGGCAGTGTTTTGTGGAATGGCATAAGTACAGGAGCCAGACCAAAAAATTCAAGTCTGGATTGGTGGTATGAGGATGCAGCAACCTTAAGCTTGCCTCTTTACAAGAGGCTAATTACTGCCATGGAATCGCGTGGCATCAAACAGGAAATTGTTGCGGGATCTGTTACTTCCTATGCTAAAAGGTACATTCCCGGTCTGAATCGGCGTCAAGGTCCCAGTGAATCTAGTAGTAGACTGGCACCAGTGGCTTTGGGAAACCCACCTTCAGAAGACGAACAAAAAATTTTACTGGAAGAGATTGATCGGATGCTTCCAATGCAGAAGAGCCTAGTTCCAACTAAGTTGCTCTTTGGTTTGTTACGTACATCCATGATTCTTCGAGTCAATCCCTCTTGCATCTCAAATTTGGAGAGAAGGGTAGGTACGCAGCTTGATCAAGCCACTTTAGAAGATCTTCTGATGCCCAATTTCTCTTACTCCATGGAGACACTTTACAATGTTGACTGTGTCCAAAGGATTCTTGAGCACTTCCTTGCAGTGGATCAGATCTCACATGGGGGTGCCTCTCCATGTTCAATTGATGACGAGCAGCTGATAGGGTCACCCTCTTTGACACCAATTACCATGGTCGCAAAGCTGATAGATGGATACCTTGCAGAAGTTGCTCCCGATGTTAATTTGAAGCTTCCTAAGTTTCAAGCTCTTGCTGCTGCAATTCCCGACTATGCTAGACCTTTGGATGATGGCCTTTATCGTGCTATAGATATATATCTGAAGGTATGGATTATATTATAATGGAAATTGAATTGCATGCGACTGTACAGTTGCAAGTCATAAATATTGATTTCTAATTTTGCTGGCTTCATCATCTTCAAGAAAGTGTCTCAAGGACTAATATTTTATATCCTCTAACATTTATCTTAGATCAAGTCAACCCGATTCCTTGGACTGGATCGTAGTTTGTTTTATTTCTGACTAAAAAATAATCTAAGCGTTGTAACAATCTGTGTGGTTGTAAGCATTAGTAAGCTCTCTGGATGCGAAGAGCACTGGGAGAAGACAAGTTGCATTAGATTGGGAGACACTACCCAAATCAAATTAATGTTATGACTTTTCACCTTTATGTTGAGGATCAAAGATGTGACATGTAACCCAATAACAGCCCTATGGCTTGACCGGGGCACTGGACCATTCTTGATTATATTGAATATGAGGTTTGCTAACTTCTCCTAATGTTGTTAATCTGCAGTCGCACCCATGGTTGGGAGAGTCCGATCGAGAACAACTGTGTCGATTGATGGACTGCCAGAAGCTGTCTCTAGAAGCTTGTACCCATGCTGCACAGAATGAGAGGCTACCCCTTAGAATTATTGTTCAAGTACTCTTTTTTGAACAGCTTCAGCTCAGGACTTCAATTGCTGGCTGTTTTCTGGTTTCAGAAAATCTTGATGGGTCCAGACAGTTGAGAAGTGGCATTGTTGGTTCTAATGAAGGAGGAGGTTGGGGAACAGCTGTCAGAGAGAATCAGGTTCTGAAGGTGGGGATGGATAACATGAGGATGAGAGTGTCCGAGCTCGAGAAGGAGTGCTCGAACATGAGGCAGGAGATCGAGAAGCTGGGCCGAACAAAGGGTTCGAGCACATGGGGAAGCGTGTCGAAGAAATTCGGGTTCAAGTTGAAGTCTCAAATGTGCAGTGCTCAAGAGGGTTCAGTGAGTAACCAAAATAATGGGAATAGGAAAACAGAGAAGTTGAAGAACAGCCAGGGAAAGCAGAAGAACAGAGCTGCTTCAATTTCAAATGAGTAGAAACACCCTTTTACCACTTTGCTTATTTATTTGTTTCCCAATGTGCTTATTTGCTAGTGATGTTGCTGCTTGTACTTTACAAATCAAAAATACATAAGACAAGAGGTCCATTGCTTGCCCCTTTGTTGCATTTGTTTATATTATTCATTTTGTTATAATCATCCTCTCCAATCCATTTAGCATTTGCAATGGAGAAGACTAATCTCACTGTTATATGATTGTGTTTAGTTGCAAGCAAGCTTGGAAAAATGCATCTCTTCAGAGCAGAGTGATGACAATTGACAACCAATGTTTCTAAACTTCGACGATGATGAAAATGTCAATGTCTCAATTTTATAATGTAAATGAAAATATTGATAAAATGTTGATGTCAATATAAAAATCATAAAAAAATATATTTATTTATTTTTATGATTTTATACGGAAAATCATAAAAATAAATAAATAAATATTTTAATTAACAAAGAAGTATTTCAAAATTTTTAGGTAAATTAAAATATGGTAATGTCAAAACAAGCATAGTTCAGCGATAATTGGCATGTATCTCTAATCAAGAGGTTGTAAGTTCAACTCCCACCCCACGTGTTGTACTAAAAAAAATGTAATTATTAATATTATATCTACATTAGTGACATTTTGTTGATTTTTTTTCATATATCTTCAACTTTTTTGGGATACTATGGCACCTACGTGGGTGTTCAATCCATGGACAAAACAGAAATGTCTACATGTCTAAAAAAATTTAATACTCTAATAACAAGTTGGCTTTGAATAAAAATTGATAATGATTTTATTATTAATTTTTTTTTTTTTTTTTGAGAAAAAAATTGATAATGAACTAACTAGGTAGGGTTTCTTTTTCTCCTCCCCTCTTAAGTCAGCAATTTGATTAAGTCTGAACTACGGATCAATTAAGCTTGGTTTTCTATCTGCCTAAGATTTTGAATATCATTTCGGGATTTTTAATGATTTCTAGACAGTTTTTTTAGTTCTCCCCTTTTTTTCAAAAAATAATGATAATAATATTGTATTTAATAACTGTTTTTTGTTCTCTTTTTTTTTTATTGAAAAAACTTGATTGTGTTATTTTAAAATTTCTATCCAATTTTTTAAATGTTTAAAAAAGAAAAAGAAATAATAATAGTTTCCAAATCCTTGTGTTTTCTCAAAAACTAAAAATGAGAACGTTATGAAACAAACCCTCAAAAATTGCAATACTTAAAGTGTCGAACAATACTACTAGGGTCACCAATCACTGCAAATTTGATAACTATTTACTTTTAGAAAAATGTAGGCGGAAACTGTTGTCCTTAGTTTCTCATTGAAAACAACTGCTGTCCTGAAGTTAAATAAAACTGGGTTCAATATAGTTTTATGGTGCAATCTTTCTCAGTATTTGAAAGTGAAACTTCCTCCTTAAGCACATTATATTAAAAGAAGATAAGATACAAGAGTACAATACAGCAGACATCTTGAGATATACAAGAGAAAAGAAAACACCAATGATTTACAAATGAATCTGGACCACCAAATCCAGTCACAACTGCTCTCCACAACAATGACCACGATGATGAAACTTTATATATAGATGAACTAATCAAATTGTGGAAAAAAAATTAAGAGGGTGGTGGGATGAGAGACTTAGTTTGACAAGAATTGGCTATACTTTCTTCTTTGTTTTTGTTCCTTTTACTGGACAGACAATTATGCATCTATTTTGAGGAGAGTGTTCAGCGATGTACTGTTGAATCTTTGAGCAAAGCCTCTAATCACTAGGACGATAACATCTCGGAGGTGGCGGGAATGCACGATCAAGTCAACCTCATTTTCGCTGTCGACGACTATTCGAAGCCGATGTTGATCGCTTCTAAAAAGTTCAACCTGTTACATAATTGGACACGTTAGCTAAGATTATAGAAAGCAATGTGATGAGGCAATTGTTGAGAGAGTGAGAAGACCAAAAAACATGTTAAGTAATCTATAAGACATTAAATTTACTCTAATAAAACTCATTAGTTTAAACTTTTGGGTTTAGTAGTAATCTAATATGGTGATAGAACAGTTCGAACTCCTATAACATCATTTCTTTACCATTTAATATTGATTACCCCTTGCTGAGTCTTTGGTAAATTATTAAATCCACAAGTGATAGGGAGTGTTAATTTATCTATAAAAGATTAAATTTATCATAACCCACGAGAACATGACACAGTTCAGTAGAACACAATAAAGACATATCATATGTTAATTATGTACTATTCCAAGAGCCCTATAGTTATGTTGTTCTTAATCATTGCTCAATCTTTAAGTGAACCCATTTGATTATTAAATTGCCAAATTCTAAATCATTCATAAGTAGAACAAATAATTGAACATTGACGTTGAGATGTTAGTCCAGAGAGGAGGGAGGGGAGGTTTAAGCCCAAGCACGTTTAAAGCTAAAGACACTTACATGAAATGGAGGAGTATAACTTCCACGGATTTCAGTAGTTGGAAAAGATGTTTTAGAACCTGGTTTCACAACCTTCACTCTTTTTTTATTAATTTCCAGAATTCTTCTCTCAAGGCTTCCAACTATAGAAATCTGGAGGATATCAGCAAAATAATGGTTAATTTATCTCTCATGTTCATCCCTTAAAACAAACTACATTGTAATAAGAAACATTGTGTGAAATAAGAAGTCGCACCTTCTTCTGAGAATGATCCTTGTCAAATAACACCTGTTTCAAAAATGTTGAGAAATGAATCCAAGGGAAAAGAGTTAGAACAAGAACACTATCGCAAAGAATGAGGCAAATACACAAATCGAGTCCAGAAAGAACAAGAAATATTACTATTTTTTCTCCAAATTTTCACGACTTCACGATAATCTACATCTTACATCATTCAATTACCAAAATATAATATTAAAAAATTTTAAAAAACACATCCCTTAGGCCGGGTTTGATAACCATTTTTTTTATGTTTTAAAACATGAACTTGTAAATACTACTTTCAACTATGTATTTTTTTGTTTTGTTAACTACTTTCTAAAAACGTTTTCAAAATCTAAGTTAACATTTAAAAACTAAAAAAAATTAGTTTTCAAAAACTTGTTTCCGTCTTTAAAATTTGGTTAAGGATTCAAATATGTTTTTAAAAAAGGTGAAAACATATCAAAGAAACTGTGCTCAAATAAGCAAAATTTTCAAAAACAAAAGACTAAAATAAAATGGTTATCACTTATCAAGCATGTCCTTAGTTTCTAAGTTCTAACATGAACTATTGGAAACTGGGGGTTGTACTTGGGTCACTATTTTTATGCCAGGCTCCACCAACAACTGGACTCTGAGAGTCCTTAGGGTTAGTTTGGGAATAGTATTAGTATATTAGTTGGGGGTGTCATGGTAATCCGTTAGAGGTAGGTTGGATATTGGGGTGTTATGGTAATCCGTTAGAGGTAGGTTGGATATAAATAGAGGTAGTAGGGATGGGAGGAGGCATCCTTTGGGAAATGATTTATGGTTAAGAACTTAGTATAGTTCTTGGGAGAGAGATAGCTCTCTCGAAAGGCTATTGATATTGTCATTATCTCTTCGATATTGCAATATACTTATCTTGTTTTATTTAGTATATTTGGGATCCTAACACAAACTTGAAGTAGGAAAGTTCTGACCTGACCTGTTGCTAAGAAAGATTTGACTCTGCCCTTACCTTTTAAGATTGCATGTAATTTACCAGACTTATGTCACTTGATGCCATGTTTCAACCCATAAGCACCAATAGAATACCCTAGACTGTTACTAAAATGAAATCAAATAAAATACATAAAAGATTTTTGTTATCATACCTCAAACTTTACAGAACCAAGATCGAGCTTTTGCTTCACTTCCTTAACAACGTCAGGCTCTGAGAATATAAACTTTAGTTATTTGACAAAAAGAAGAATAGGAAATATAATTTGAATTATATAACTTGAAAATTGAAATTGAGATGTAATAGGTCCTCGATATAATGACATAACATGCCATAGATTTTCACCACACAATATTACGTGCAATAATTCCTTGAGAGAAATGAAAATCATCTAAAAATTGACATTTCTATGAACCACTCCTTCGAGAGCAAAAGTATGCAATCTTTCGAAAAATAAATAAAAAAGACTGAATTAGGCTATATTTTTTA